AAGTCTTGCCTCAACCATACACGCTGTATAGTTTATTGCGCAGAACCATTTTTGGACCCCTTGACAATGTGGAGTCCAAAAATAGATGCAACAATGGTTGCAAACTGCAAATCAAAAAACTAAACCATGAATCCAAAGGTCCAAAAATCCGGGCGCCGGCCACGAAGCCCGTGCCCTGCCCGGAGGGCCTTCGGTGGTAACCGAAGGTTATAAACGGGCGCGCCCCCTGCCGCCGACCCTCGGTCCCAAAACGGGGGGACCACCGGGTCACTGATATCAACGTAATTTACAGGGTTTCGTGTGGGTGAGGTATAAAAAACACTGTGTTTTACAGGGGTTGGGGGCTCTCGGCGGCCGAGAATTTCATCTGGGCGATGTCAAAAAACCTAGGTTTTTTCATGGTTTTTGCTTTGCGGGAAGGAAAAAATCGCCAAAAGTTGTATCGGAAGATTTTTTCAACAAAAATCGCCTCACATATCCGCAACATAGGCCCAAGATAGCCAACAGATCCCCAACATATGCCCCACATAGCCTCCAAGATGGCTCAACATAGGGCCAACATAGGCCAACTTGGGGCCAACAGACGCCAACATAGGCCCAACATAGGCCCAAGATAGCCAACATATCCCCAACATATGCCCAACATAGCCTCCAAGATGGCTCAACATAGGGCCAACATAGGCCAACTAGGGGCCAACAGACGCCAACATAGGCCCAACATAGGCCCAACCTAGGGCTAACGTGCTCAACATAGGATCAATATGGGCCCCAGATGTGCTCTTTGTGGCCAACATATCCCTTTACAGGGTTTCGGGCCCCTCGGCAGCCGAGAATTTCAGCTTGGCAACAGAAACATGACGGCGCATATCGCAAGACAGCTGGATTCCACGTTCACAAGACAGCAGGGATGCCCCATGTCCCAGGCCCCGCGCAAACCTCTGTTCTGGCACGCTTTGTTTGTAACTGTTTGTCTGTTTCTGGTTTACTGCGTCTTGGTGTACAGTGTGTCGCGCGTGCAAGAAAGAAACGAAAGCGCACAGCACAAGACAGCTGCATTCCACATTCACATGAAAAAGCACAAGGAAATGCACATTCGCTCCTTTTTTCTTTCCGCTCGGAGTCGTTCGGCCGTTGCTGTCGAAGTGGGGTTGCCCGAAACAGGATCGAGCTCTGGTTTTGTTCTGGCGATACGAAATAGGCTGGAACGAAAGTCTCACTGTCGCCAGATACCTGCGAGTCATCACCGGGGGTGTGGGTAGCTGGCATGAGCGACGCTCTGGCCAGAGGCGAAGTTGACCTCTGGCTTTCTTCTGGGGATACGAAACAGGT